GGTCACACACACACTCAAGCCGACAAGCACTCAGACAGGCACGCAGACCAGCAAGCACGCACACTCACAGACTTCAAAATTCAGCAACAAACGGGAATCTCAGCAAGGCATTCATTCAATTGGCAAAACTCAGAAATCGTCTGTGTGTCTCAGTCCGTGTTTGGCAGGTCCTTACAGTTCACTTTTCTAGTCCCTCGTTTTTCCAAATTTTCATAACAATGGAAAATGCTCGATATGTGGGGAGCTCCACGTGCTGTAAACCAGGTCTACTGTTCACTGGTAACTGTTTACTAAACCAGGTCAAGTGTTCACTGTTCACTACACCAGGTCCAGTGTTGACTGTTCGCCACAAGGTCTAATGTACATTGTTCACTAAACCAGGTCCAGTGTTTGCTCGTCAGTAAGGCTCAGTGTTCACTGTTAACCAAACCAGGTCCAGTGTTCACCGCTCACTAAACTGAGTTCAGTGTTCACTGTTCACTAAACCAGGCCTGGCGTTTACTGTTCACTGAACCAGGTCCAATGTTCACCACTCACTACACCAGGTCCAGTATTCACTGTTCACTAAACCAGGTCCAGTCTTCCTCTGCTCACTTTTTTCCTGTTCCTATTCTAGATCGACTGTTGTGTATATCAGCAGTGTGTGAAATGATGCTAAGAGTGAAAGAGAGGAAAGGAAAGGAAAGGAAGAAAGAACCGAAATCAAGCTTGACTATGTCGAGAAGCATATGAAGATGATGGGTGGCCTTTCCTCGGTGGTCTTTCCTTCTGTGCTATGGCTTTCTTCTTCGTGCAGGTTCTTGGCGGTGTTATACTGCTGCTCTTGGTTTCATTTGCTGTGTTCTACACTCGCAGGCAAAGAAAAAAAACAGTTTGACGAGATCCAGTCTCAACACAGTCCAATCCGCTTGCTTTTTTTTGTTGACATGCATGTTCACACACAGTGGCAGGAGGTATCCAGTGGGGTTGCAAGTGGGTGATCGATGGAGTCACATGCTCTCTCTCTCTCTCTCTCTCTCTCTCTCTCTCTCTCTCTCTCTCTCTCTCTCTCTCTCTCTCTGTGTGTGTGTGTGTGTGTGTGTGTGTG